TCACCAGGTCAAGGCCTCGGGCCGCCGCCGATGAGTAGACACCGCCTCCGACGACTCCTCGCCGAGAATGTCGCTGAGCTGCGGACGACGACAAAGAAGAACGCTGCATTAACATTGATCGTCGGCCAAGCATCGGCGCGGAGTATAATATATGTCCGTAGAGAGTGAGCGTGATGTGAACGACATTTGGAGAGAGAGCGACGAGCGAGATGGAGAGAGAGAGAGAGAGAGAGACGAGAGAAAGAGAAAAAGCGAGAGTGACAGATGAGAGAGAGAGAGAAAGAGAGAGAGAGAGAGAGGAGAAAGAGAAAGCGAGAGTGACAGCTAGAGATAGAGAGAGAGAAAGAGAAAGCGAGAGTGACATGATAGAGATAGAGAGAGAGAGAGAGAGAGAGAGAGAGAGAGAGAGAGAGAGAGAGGAGAGAGAGAGAGGCGAGCGGGTGTCGCTTTGAGTTTCTGTGTTCAGATTCGCGCGCAACATTCTAAAGCTCTCTTACACACTCTCTCTTCCATTCCCGACCATTTTTATCATTTTCTCTCCTCTCCGCTATCTCTATCTATGCTAAATGTTCTCACTCACTCACGCATACTCTGTCTTTCGCGTTGTCCCTTTTCTTTCACGCTCATTTATGCTTCTCTTCTCTTTCTTTTTCTGTGCGCACACACTTACTTACCATTCTTTCTTGCGCGCGCGCAGCGCTCTCTCTCTCTCTCTCTCTCTTCTCTCTTCTCTCTCTCTCTCTCTCTTCTCTCTCTCGCTCTCTCTCTCCTCTCTCTCGCTCTCTCTCTCTCTCCTCTCTCGTCTCTCTCTCTCTCTCGCTCCTTTCTCTCCTTTCTCGCTCTCCCCTCTCTTTCTCGCTCTCCTTCTCTCTCTCTCCCTCTCTCTCTTCCCCTTCCCCTCTTTCCCTCTCTCACACACAGCACGCACAGGATTTCGCGCAAGGTTAAATTTTTTCTCCACATTTCTTCTCGCCAGGGATTCACGCGGCCGGATTTCATCTGTGAATTATTGCCTACATGCAGTAATGATATTGCAAATGCCAGGGCTTAAATGTAATGGAAACATTCGCTATGACACGCGCCGTGCTATTCTCAGAGTAGGGATACGTGAGCGCTGAAAACAAAATCGATGATTTCGGCGTCATTTGAATGTCAATGCCGTTTTTTTCCCCTCTTCTGCTGCACCATTTCTTACGCGTCACCGTATTGTTTGTAACTGAGTGAGAGGGGCGTGACGTATTTCCTCATGTCACCGGAAATAGTCATTTATCAAGAGGACATAATAGCAACGACAGAAGCACGTTATTAGCTTCTGTGCAATCAATTTATTTGCTTTTTTGTCTCGCCTAGAGCTAGATTATATTTGTCTGCCACGTTTGTCTCGCTAATTATTTGAAAAGACAATAGTTTTAAAAACACACACACACGTGACCATGATTTGAAGTTTTAATTTTCCTGTTTCAACCCGTGAAAGGCGCGGTGTGCGGTTTTGCGGGCGGTTGTCGATGAGCCGAGCGATAAGGAAGCGCGAATCACCAAGGTATACCTGCGTCGATAATTATTTTGATTAATATAACAACACTTTTGCGGCAGTGAAGTCGTCTAGCCTCCCGCTCACCGGGCGTGCATTCAGACCGCAGCGCGACAAATGCAATTTTCCTGATAGCCCACGATTTGAACGTGTCTATTGCCTTGCCCCTCTCTATACACGCCATGCCGACTTCAGCGGAATTACGTCTCCCTGACGCTCGGCCGCCTGTATAGAGCCAGATAGTCGGAACCCAGCGTTCATTTCATCCGATGTTCCATTGCCATATTGTTGCAGGCGAAACAATTTCATTTCAGGAGGAAATTCGATATCAATTAGTTAGATTAACTTAATAACTAATTAGTGAAATTAGATGACGCGTGTGCGCACGTGACCGACGATCGCAGTCGCTATTGTAATCTAATTAATGGCTAATAACTTATGGCTGATATTTCTCTACCTTGTTCTGCTCGTCCTCCGTGTTCACGCCCATTACAATCTCACGTAAGATTTTATCCATCGCCCACGGATTACCGCCAAATCTGAAAAAAAATCATAATATTATACATATAATTATATAATATAATATACGCGCTTCGCTCCCTCACGTACGTGCGCCTGTCTATACATGTTAGGATTTTCATCTGTAGTTCCGTATCAAGCTATACTGTGGCGGTTGTGTTTTTTATCGCGTGTACGTGTTGCTATTTTAGCCATAACATAAACGTATCGAATGCGCCCCTAGCGTCGCTCTATCCTAAAATGATCCCTCTTCCGCCATCACACAAGTGACAGAAACTACGGATAATGTGCAGACGTGCCGTGCAAGGAAAGATGGCGGCTGTGTGCACACGCCATCTTCAATCGCGGCGTCACCAGCGACGACGCTCGCGTCCATCTATACGAGTAATCCCGTCACCGAAGTTCACTGGAGACCGCCGTAATATATACGCTGTTGATTGCATGCAGCGGTGTCGGCGCTGGCGTGCATTTAGAACCACAGTGCGGTCATATACTCTCTCTCTCGCGCGCTCTCTCTCTCTCTCTCTCTCTCTCTCATTCTCTCTTTCTCTGTCTCTCTCGCTCTCTCTCTCTCGCTCTCTCTCTCTCTCCCTCTTCTCCAGTTCCGCGTTGCGGCAGACCAACGCGTATCTTGCTATATCGGGGGTGACCTCCGCCTGGGGTCGTGATCTATTACCACGAATTTTGTCGTATCGTAATCCCTCCCTCGGTCTGGCGTCCTTATCTACTAGCATGTGACTTGTTTTATCGTATGGCTTCAGTCTGGGGCCTTGGGATCTACGAACGTGATCCATGCTATATCGTATGCTCTCCGTCTGGGGTCCTTATCGACTAATGCCGCCCTTGTTATATCGTATGCCCTCCCTCTTGGGTCCCAATCAACTAAGGCGATCCTTGCCATATCGTATGCTCTCCGCCTGGAGTCCTTATCTACTAACGCCATCCTTGCTATATTGTATGTCCTCCGTCTGGAAACTTAATCTACTATCACGAACCGTGCTATATCCTGTGCACTCAGTCGGGAATCGTTTCAATAGATATATTATATAAATGTATGATAGGATCGCTACTGATCTCTGGATAGACAATATATTGTTTATTCTACACATCGAAACTTCTTATGGCCAACCTTACTCGAGTCTAGTTAGACACAGAGACGCGAGTGACGGTGGACGCAGTTCAGCTACTCGTAATGACCCACCAGCTTCGTGACACACATTGTCTTACATAAGGATTAAATATATTTCCAATTTACGTAATGGCACGTTAGTTAATAGATTTTTAGCAGGTTTTTAGCTAATTTTGCGCATCGCGCACTGGTTTGCGCACACGGGCATTTCGCGTGCCATTGACACACATCAGATTAATTTAATTGGCATTAAGCACGCTATGAAATTGTACGTAATTTGTGTAATGTGCCATTTCACATCGATAATTAACAACAGTGAGAACGGTGACATAAATTGAGCTACGTGTAATATAAATTATTACATGTCTAATTATTATTGGTATTAAAACTGTTGTCGTTGTCTTCTTGTTTCTGTTGTTGTTATTGTTTTTCTTAGGGGATGTTGTTGTTGATGCTGGCTGTGACAGTAACGGCGGCAGCGGCGGCGGCGGTAGTTTTGGTGGTGGATTATTATTATTACTATTATTATTATTATTATAGACATTAACAATTCAAAAACCTCATTCGAGAGCCTTAGACATCACGCTACGGCGCATATGACTAATAAAATCGAGGAGAGGCGTGGTCGAACCACGACCGAGTACTCAGCTTACTTGTCTTCGATGGTCTTCCAGTTGCTCAGCATGAAGTTGAAGCTGATCGTGCGGCTGAGCAGGCCGTGGCCGAGAGCACCGATGGCGCGGGAGAAGTCCCACTTCTTCAGCACAGTGCCGTTCAGCGCATAGTTGAGATACCTAATAACACGAATAGACATAATATTCGTATAGGAGAGTCATTAACGCAAAGTGATTACCGTCATCTGATCTATCACCGATAACAATATATACGGACATCGCGCGGGTGACGTGGATGGTTGGCTTCACAAGCTAGTGTATGTGCGATGAGCGGAGGCGTAGCTACAGCGGAGTGTTGTGTTACTCGCCGCGTAGGCCTGCATAACCCATTGACGCGCGTGGATTATAACAGGCCGAGAGTGGTAATAAGATCAATGCGCGCTGGCAGAATTGATGCCATTACGTATTTCAGTGAAGTTGCCGGAGTTGGATGGAATTGCGTGGAATATATCACCGCGACAGGAGGAGCGCGCCGGGGAAAAGGCCGTGTAATTTGTGCAGGCGATGGCGGAAGTTTGCTCTGGCGATGACGGCATGCGCGACATGGCCGATCGTAGTACAGACAACCGAGTCGAAATTACCCTCCCCCCGCATCCAACCGCGAGTTTCGAGCTTAGCAACCACTCTCGCTACATTACCGCTGCAGTAACCAGGGCTCCTTTGTGGTCGCTAGGGCGTCGTAGACGGTGTGGCGGTCGCTGGCGACTAACGTTCTCTGTGCGTATTCGAAAAGGTAGTCCCAGTCTCCATTATTACCGCTCATCGCGCCAGCTTGGTAGGCTAGGCCGCGGAAGTTAGCAGGAATGCTGAAAAACGTAGGGGAGAGGCTACGAGCCTAAAGAGCATTTACGCAACACGCCTGTCCTAGGCAACGTCATATGCGTTCCTGTCCTCGCGTACTCTGCAGCAAATCAATGTCCGTGACGTCGAAGTTGGCATCATTCCGTTGTCACACACAGTAGACGTGTTCGAACCAACGGTGAACGAGGCAATATAGATTTTGAACGCAAAGCGCGATTTATTCTCGTCTTCCGTATTAACGTACCTTTTGTTTGCAGTCCTCCAATTAGCGAAGAAATTATAGGCGTGTTGCTGGGTACTTCCGTGTCCGTATTTCAAAGCCGCATTTAACAGCTCAATGCGTATATCTCTGCAATTAGGGCGAGAGCGTCGGAATCGACATTCAATTAAAGGGCTGCAGACGTTTGCTGACTCTCTTTGCTATTTATCTCCCTCCCTCTCTTTCGCTCGCTCGCTCACACGCATACACATGCACATGTACGCGCGCGCCTACACACGCACGCACACACACGCACACACACACGCACGCACACACACACACACACACACACACACACACACACACACACACACACACACACACACACACAACAAGTAATTAGTACTTTATTTCTGTATAATTATCTGGTATATATTTTATATCTCACCTCTGACTATACTCTAGGTGGTGAGTTTGTTTTCGGAGATCGGCGGCATGTTTGGCCTGTGCATGGGCATCTCCATTCTCACCGTCGCCGAGTGCTGCCAGTTCTTCTTCATATTCCTCGTTCGCAAGTGTAAGTTGCTTACATCAAACAATAGCGTGCAACCAGCAACACGCCAGGCGTGGCCCTGAAGGCGTTCATATAGCCTGAGGGAGTTCATGCATGTCTGAGGAAGTTCATACAGGCCTGAGGACGTCCATACAGGCCTGCGGGAGTGCATACAGGCCTGAGAGAGTTCATACAAGTCTGAGGGAGTTCATACAGGCCTGAGGGAGTTCATACAGGCCTGAGGGAGTTCATACAGGCCTGAGGGGGTTCACACAGTCCTGATGTAGTTTCTACAGGCAT